AGAAGTAATGTTTTGGACCCAGAGACAACATCTGTGTAGATTCTGATGCATTCAACTGTCTCCTTGAGATTAGTTTTTATCTTTCACATCTGTGCTGGACTGAGGAAGTAGCCAATAACATGAGAAACAAGGAATAGAAGGAAACCAGGAGTTCTGATGAGGAAAACACACCTAATTGGGCTGGGAGGAGAAGGGATGATGATGTGGCAGCCATTATTGAGAATGTAATTTGATGGAGGAGTGGCACCTAACTCTGATTCGGTATTTTTTTTAAAAGAAAAATAATAATGAAATCTTTGTGCATTGTTTTACAGAGAAAATTCCTTTTTTTTGAACACTGGCACCCAGAGGTGCCATTGTTAAGCTCAGCAATATCTGGGCTTGGCTGACAGATGAAGCCACAGTGTGAACTGCTCTGCCGACTGTGCTTATACTTCACCTTGCTGCTGTGATATATGCAAGGATCTCTGGTTAGAAAACTCATTGCCAGGCCTAATTTTTGAAGACAGTTTCACAATTCCCAGCATACGGATTTTGAGGCATGCACACTGTGTGTTGTCATAGGGAGCTGTAGATGAATCGTCTGCGCCTGAGTGGGCCTAGGGATTAATTGGTTGGATGGAGCGTGCTGCACCTCACGTTTCAGCAGTGCGCTGGCTCCCAGGACGTGTGACTGGGGGGCACGGGAGGGCCACGTTAGAAAAAGCTGGTTTTGTCCTGGGGTGGGTGAGCCACCAGGTGACACAGACTGGCTGCTCCTTTTGCCAGACCAGGCAGACGTGTCACAAGAACTGGTGACAGATGTACTTGGCTGTAACATCTAAATCTCACCTCTGAAATGCCCTTGCTCCTTTGTTTAAAACAGTTTAGGCTGGAGTAATTGCTTTCCCAGTAGTCCCACGCTGGGCAGGTGTGGCTTCAACCTCTTGGTGGCTGTTTCAGAGCAAGATGATACAAACATGTTGTAAAGTACAATAGAGACGAGTTATTTAGTACTGTTACTCTACTGGGTATTGGATTACACAAGATCTGCTACAGGTAATAAATTTACCTGCTGAGATAACAAAGTGGAATTTAGTCGGCTGGACCTAAGAGTTAGCAGAGGGCTTTTTGGTGTAGTGGGTGCAGTTATGAGGTAACAGGTACAGAAGACTAAGTTTTCGCCCACCCCCCTAAGTATGCTGGTCAAAGACTTACTTATTTTAACTTAAAGCATGGCTAGACAAAGCTGGATGGCAAAAGTTAAATGCTACTGTATCGTGAGCACAATTCAACTTCAGTAATGTTGAGGGAAAAACTGGTTCCCGTTTTGTCAGCCTCTCTTTGTGTGTTGGTTAAGTATGATGAGGAAAACTAAAATACACAGGTGCTTAAAGTCTGTGCGTGCTACATTGCTACTCACTGAGAGCAGCTGACCTGGTGAATCACAGTGGGCTGAGGCTTTTGTGTTCATAATAAACTCAGTGAGGTGTTCCTTCCTTGGCTTTCTCTTGACAGCAGTCATGTGGGATCTACTGTCTCTGCAGTCTGTGACAGCAGTGTGGTTTTCTATAGGCACTGGTGTCTAGCGAGCAAGGAGATTTTGTTTGCTTGGTGGAAGTGTGTGCAGTTGGAGTGGTTTTGGGGTTTAGTTTGGGAGCGGGAGAGTTATCTCCAGATTCGTTCATTAAGATCTTGGGCTTAGGTTTCCTTGAGTTATATTTCCTTTCCTGTGACAGATACCTTCCGCTGTTAGCTGCCATATGGTCTTGATGATCAAGGATGATGGACTGGAGTGAAAATGATGGTTGAAGTAAACAGCATTTCTGTTTATTGTGTATAACATTTTTCTTGAATGCATTTGGGTCTATTTTTTTAATCCTAGTGATATTTTTTTGTATTCTGTTCAGTTTTGCATAATCTGTATGCTATTAAAATTAGTTGAGGGACAGTCTTTCTTTAGAAAATGAGTTATACTTGTTGGCAGAATGCTACAGAAGGACGTTATCTCAGCTTTTGCATAAACAGGGCTCTACAATTTCTGTGTGCTGAACTAAACTTTCCCAAAATTGTCTGGCCTCTAGTGCTGATGCAAGAAGGCAGAAATTCCAGTGGTATGTTCAAGCAGGGAATCGTGTCTAACTCAGTGAGGGAACGATGACTCCCCTGGTGACACCCAGTGATCCGCAGCTCTGTAGCAGAGCCTCACCTATTGGCCGAGTCTATTAGAAAGTAGCTTGCTTAGCCATCGTGCTTGGGTTTCACTCATCATGCCTGGCTCCCTGGCAGTCCACAGGACTAGAGTGATCTCGTGGGGTCCAATGTGTCTTCTCTAACCTGATTGAGTTTCTATCACTTTGCTAGGAAAATGTGACTTCTTGAGACAAGAACAGAAATGTATATAAGAACTCTCCTATATGAAAATATACTTGCTGTCTGTTCAATCTTACTATTTTGTTTGTCAAGCTTTTTTGGTCTCTTTTTTTTTTTAATAATGCAGTCACATTGTTTTCTAGCTGTCAGCTGTGTGAACTTACCCATGCCATTGCAGGCAATAGTTTCTTTTTGTCTACAGTTATTAAAAGTCCTTTTTGTGAAGTTTAACTTCTGTGCATCTCGAGATTTATGTGAAATATTTCTGTTTGGTTTTTTTTGTTATTTGAACGTGGGAAAGGGGGTGAGTGTTTTATTCTTCTCTGGCTCATGTTTCCTCTTGATGATAATGGATGTTGTGGGTGACTTCACTAATCATGCTGACAGTCTGTTCCAACAGGGTAGATGAGAGGTACCTGCTTGAACAATCAGCAGTGGAATAATGAGAAATATTACAACTGAGGTGTTCATTATTGGAAGTTCAGCACCAATAGTCTTAGCGGGTTGGAGAGGTATGAACATGCTTGTGTCTCAGAGTGAGTCTTGGCTGATACCTGTGTAAAGGAAGAGGCTTGTCTGCAGCCACATAGACTAGGACCATTCCAAGTTAAAGCTTGGGTTCTTGAAACTGGTTACATAGATGGCACGTGCTCTGTCAGACCTCTCTGTCCAGAGGACTTCAGACTGTTTCCTGCCCCTTCAGTGTCTACTGCTAAGGTTGTCTTGGCACACTCACGCATTATTTGAAGTCAACATTTAGAGTGCCCATATATCCAGACTCTGACTGTGGGTCATTGCTTTTGATATTTACTTTAAGCATGAAAACAGCAATAACATTCATTTTGATTTCAGAGGAAAAAAACCCAAAACAACCCCAAAACAAAAACAAAAAAACTTAGGGAAAAAAAAACAAAACAACCCCAAAACAAAACCAGAAAAACTTAGATTCCCCCCCACACCCCCTGCCTGCTTTATCACTGTTAATTTGCCTCCAAATAGAACACTACAAAGCTGTAAGAGCCTCTGGGGAGATGAAGTAAGAAGTTTAGATGAAGTTGTATCTGTCACTATTATGGCAGTTTGGGGGAGGGGGAAGATGAAAAATAGAAGGGCAAGAAAAAGCTTAATTTCTCAAAGGAGAGTGGAGACTTGGATTCTGAAAACGTCTAGTATTTTGGCATTTTGTAGACTAGGTGGGGTCTGGCAACTGTGCAAGATGCTATACAATCTTAGAGCTGTGCTTAAAGAGCTAATAGGAGAGTTGTGTTTGGCTGGTGTTCCTCTTTGCCTCAGTTTCCTAACCTGTGAAATAAAGGTATGTTCTCCATGTCATGCAGGAAATCACTGTCTCAGATCAGAATTCAAGGTTTCTGGCTTCCAGTTCTCTGCTCAGACCACACCTTTCTTTTTATAGCTGTGGGAAAAAGGTCCACTCCAGCATGTCATTTAGTAAAATACCATTTATGAAAAGCAAAACTAAGCCCAAAAGGGCTAAAACTAGCTGGTTTTAAATTAGGAGACAGAAAAACTTCTGCAGATTCCTTCTGGCAAATGGAAGCTTATGGTTTCACACCAGATGTGCTCATCTTTGGGGATGTTTCTGGCAAACTGAAGTCCCCGCAAAGGTGCGTGCTGAGTGATGTCTAGAAGACTGATACAGAACTGGCCAGTAGAAGTCAGGGAAATCCTTTCTTAGGATGAGCTCTGCTGGGATGTGCTTGTGAGGATGGATTGGAACACTGTGACTTGATGGCTTGCCATACAGTCAGAGTGTATTCCTGTGTTCAGGTGTAGCCTGAAAGCTGCAAGCTTCTTCAAAGCTTCTCCCTTTGGAATTGTAGTCTGAAATCATTAAAGCTGAGAGCTGAAACTCTTTCATACTATATATGGCATTTGTGCCAGTGGTAGAAACCCAAGTGTATTTATAATGCTAGTGTGCTGCAGGAATACGGATTGGGAACAAATGTTTGTTTGGATAAAATCCAACTCCAGGGATCAGTTTTACTGCTGTGTGTAAAATCCATAGCAAGCTTGTAAAAGCAGCAGTTGGAAAATCTAATAGGGCCTTCCTCATGGAAAACCCACGAATTTGGTGTAACGTGATATGGCTAGAGAGTTACTTGTGGTGGTACACGTAGTAGTCGGTGACCCTGTGTGTAACATGCTGTCTGTCATGTTGGAATGCAGGGGTGCTCTGGTGTTGTTGGCACACGTGGGGTTTGTCGGTGTGACTTGTTAGTGCGTGCTGCTGTCTTCATATATATTCTTCACTTGTTTAGAAATACCCATTTGTGCCCCAAGTAATTCTTACCAATATTGCATAGCATTGAGATGAGTAAATGAAGCTGTAAAATGAGCTGAGCTGTTTTACATACTCCTGATAAATATTTGAATGAAAAGAGTTGGCAAAAAAAGGACACAAGTGTCTTTGGGTGTGTTGATTTAACCGTCTCTGTTCAGTTTGTGTTCAGTTTGATTTGCCTAACTTGTTAAATCCTTTCTATTGCTGTACAGCTAATTACTGTATGCTGAGCCTCTGTGGAATAACCCCCATTCCCCATTTGGACTAAGAATGCTCATTTCCGAAGTCATACAAGAATTGTGGTTTATTTTGTTTTCTAAAACTGCTGTGTCTGTTGTTGTTGAAGGATGTTCAGAAGGAGAGCGAGCCTCACGTTTATCTCAGTAAAGAAGAACTTAAAGAGAAGATACAAAGCTACAATTCATCTGTTACTGATAAATTAAAGATGACCTTGGTAAGTTTTGCATAGAATTCCTGTAGTTTTTAACAGGAGCAGTTGAACTTTGAACTTCATAGAACTTCGTGAATAACTTTTTTTCTCAGCATCTTGCATATGAAACTGTCTCTTGTTTTAGTGGCATTGTATGAGGCTCTTTATTAGATCTGGAAATTAAATCTCACATCTGACATGTTTTTATCCTCGTAGCTCTCTTTATATGGATTAAAACAAACTGTAGTAGAAAAAAAATATCATTTGAAAGGTGTTTAAGCTCTCATTTGACACCAAGATGTAAATTTGTCAGATGAAAACCCTGAGCTGGTAAAGATGAAGACATGTTTATCCTGTTTGTGTAGATAATTTTTTGTCAGGTATCTCTCTGATACAGATGCTCAACCAACAAGAAAAGTTAAAATTTACAGTATTTATTATAGTAGATTTAATTTGTAGTCGTACAGATTTTCAGCATGAGGGGATTTTCCCCTGCCCCCGCGACACAGACAATGGAATGCATATGGATTTTTCACCTCCAGGGATTGTGGGCCAGGTCTAAGTCTCAGTCCCGCCTACTGCAGTCCACACTCATAAAATTCACATCTGTCTGCCTCACAAGCTGTTACTCAGTCGTTGCGTTGCCCAGATTTTTCTGACACATTGCGTATTTCTCTGGGTGTGTAGTATATGGAAATGCTGAAATTCCATTATATTCTAAACTATGTAAGTACAACTCTGTCCTAAAAATGTTTGTTACATGTTTGCATGTGTGTCAGGACTTACTGTGCCTAAAACCAGACTGCCTGAGGCTTTCTAGCTCAGTAAGGTTTGATCCATTGTGCTGGTTTGTCTTTCAGAAGCAACTCGAATGAATAAGTTGAAATGTTGATTAGATTGGCATTTATTCTGGTTCTTTTTTGAATTGCACCAAAATTTGAGTATCTAAATGCCTTAAACTAATTGGACAAGCATAGGTAAAATGTGCCATATTTCTGCATGAAATCTGTTGTTAAAAATGCATTAGTTCTCTTTCACTTCAGAGTTCTCTACTACTGTGAAAACTTCTCTGGTTTGTAGTACCTTTTGCTTGGTGAGATCCTAATAATCTTAGGAATCAATAGTTATTATTTAAAAAAAAAAATCAGCAGAAATACCAGAGAGAATAAATGTCTGAATTGTTGAAACGATATCTTTCTTACAAGACCTCACGTATTACAGCGCTGTCCAAATTGTGTTCACTGTTATTGTGTTAATCTGCCTGCTCACTGATACGTCACCATTTGTCATTGCTGGTTTTAACGGCTCAATACTTTCCTCCCGTTGCAGAACACAAATGGGATTTACACTGGCTTCATCAAAGTTCAGATGGAACTATGCAGACCGATCACTGTGCAGTCTTCCCAGAGCCAGGGGAGGTGTGCTCCCAGCAATAATGAAACTGCCTTTTACTTGCCGGATGGCTGCGTGAACACCCTTCACATCAGCAGCACCAACACTGTCCGTGAAGTTATTGAGGCCTTGCTCAAAAAGTTTTTTGTGGCTGACAACCCTGCAAAGTTTGCACTTTATAAACGCTGTCACAAGGAAGACCAAGGTATAGGTTAGGCCTGTGGTGTTTTGTTAACTAAGGGGTTTGGGGGGGGAGTTGTGCTGTAAGAATACTTGAAATAAGCACTGTGGAAGAACTCAGACAAACGGAGGTGACAATCTTGCTCTCTATCGTTTCTTTTTGCTTTGTGAAAAGTAGCATGTGTAAGAGTAAATACTTTGGGGACATTTCAGCATAATTCACCAAAGACAAAGTAACCTACTAAACCATCTAGACAGGTGTCCTGTGCCTTGCAGTCCCTTACATTTTATTTACTATGCCCCCTTATTAGGCTCTCGGTTTCAGCTAGCCTGACACACTGCAGATTTCTGAGATTAAATTACAGGACAGATTTTTCAAAGAGTGATTTTCAATCTTGGTGTCGGTGATACCTGAAGTCCCAGCACTGGCAGACAGCTCTTGAGATGACGAGCATCATGGGCACGTGCATTCTGGTTGTGTGTGTTAACTGGTGCACGTGGCTCTCCCAGTACGCTGCCTGCTTGTGGAAGTTTGTTGTATATTGTGTCTGGAAAGACCAGAAGATGTACAAGGTGTGTTTAGTGAAAAGTGTGTTTTTTGCCAACGTTGTGTTCTTGCACTTAGAATCCGCCTTCTTCCGTGGACGTTGAGAGCAGTTTCAGGAGTTCAGATGTTTCTGGCTGTCAGTCACACCAACTGTGTCAGGCAGGCAGAGTTGTCTTTTAGACTTTGTGTATGAGATTTTTAAGTGGAAAAGGTATCAGAATGGTGATACCTCAGCTCTGATGTGTGTAAATGCTTAGCTTTAGTGGCAGATCTGTGTTGAGCTTTTTTTCTTGTGGTTTTCCCCTACATGTCTTCAGATGGTGTACTGTGTTGACTAGAGGCCATTTCATTCCTGTGTGAATGTAGTGTTGCACTGTTGCCATCAGTCACCTGCTCAGCTTCTCCCTAAAACTGAGTTGCTCAAAACCAGTATGTAGCCTAATATGTCGGCAGTATGGAGAGCGTGTGAATTTTATGGCTACATGTGTATCTCTGAAATTTTCTAACACTGGCTAGTGTTAATCATTCAAAGCGTTTGAAGTCTCTTTAGTAAAAGTGATAATTACTGTGATTTTCTTTTCCTGCAGTTTATACATGCAAGCTGTCAGACCGAGAACATCCCCTCTACCTGCGTTTGGTGGCAGGCCCCACAACAGAAATGCTCAGTTTTGTTCTGCGTGAGCATGAAACTGGAGAAGTCATGGTATGTTACACTCGTGCTGGTTTGGCGTGTGTGTGTTTAACTTAGGGATGAGCAGGCTGCTGTTTGATCCGTGTTAACATGATCCATTTTTTGGAAGCAGATTTTTTTCCTTTATGCCTTTTGTAAACCTTTAATTTGTGGTTAGGCTGACCCATTGCCACTTGCAGAACAAATAGTTTATAAGAGTAATGTGTTTTCCAATCCCTAGGATTTGCAAGGAGCGTGTCTGATACTGTTTCAGTTTGAAGTTGTTTTGAGTGTCTGAGGTTTTGTTTAAAAATACTGTGTATATATAAATTTGCATATTTTCAGTTCATTTCATCCATCCTTTTTTTCCTCTTTCCAGTGGGAAGCTTTTAGTATTCCAGAACTGAAAAACTTCTTGCGTATACTGGACAAAGAGGAAAACGAGCAACTGCAAATCTTAAAGAAGCGTTATGCAGCTTACAGAGACAAACTTGAAGAAGCCCTCGGTGGGGTGTGGAAACCTGGTTAAAAGGGGGCCAAAGGACACTCAGGAAAAACGCACGCTACCAAATGTCAGTATAGCATGCCAAACCCAACGTACAAAGAGCAGCAGAGAGTAGTTTTCTTTATTCAGAAGACTGTTTTGTGATGCCGGGGTACCTGAATTTTGCTATAGACTTAGTTCCGTAAGCCAGGTCACTTAGCATCTTGCACCCACGAGTAAGGGATTCTGCATGTTTGTACATCAGTTTGCAACCCTCTGTGTGCCTGGAGAGTTTTCCAAGTTATCTTGGTGCAAGCTGTGAAACTAATCAATTTTTCTAGAATGCTATGAAATAAGACTGTTTGGTTTTTTTCTTTGCTTTAATGGTAGCTTTACAAGTAAGGACGTGCAAATTCATGGGTTAAAAAAATTAATAAAACCATCTGGACGAGAACTAGTTGGAGCACTATCTTTGAGGTGAAATTGATTTGCACTACCTTTCTGTTTTCAAGTAGTTACTGTATAATTTGAGAGAACTGTTGTAGGTGGAAGGCATATGGGATCTTGTGGTTTGTTCTGTGAAATTGATGGAAGGCTTTAAAGTGGTCTTTTTGGAGAAGGTAGAGAAAGTTGGAAAGAAGGTAAGAGTTGAGGAAGGAGAACCCTAACAGCTGACAGAGGGGAGCAGGTTTTAAATGGAGCTAGTATTTATACAGAGGAAAGTTGAAATACTAATTCTACAAGATTAAAGTTTTAGGATGCTATAATATTGTGAATAAGTTTTATGGTTTTTTGACTGCATAAATCCACACTGGAAAAGAAATAAAGATGATAGAAGTAATGGGAAGGAATGAGAGGCAAAAGCTAAATAAGAATGGGAATGGAGCTGCACATACAAGTCATGACCGGGGGAGCTGGTTCCATATATGTGTAAAGGGGGTTTGAAGAGTGCAGCAAAGCTAAAAGGTGGCTGCTTACTTGAATTCTGCAAAGTGGACGGTGTCTTGGATAACTCTGTGCAAAATGCCCATCTATTGAGTGTTCAGACATAAGCTATAACTACAGATGCATTTGGTCTCTATTCTAAGTCAGGACTTTCCTCTGGCTCAGCAATCCATTTTTAGGCTGGATAATCTTGAATTCTATCTGAAAGACAAAAATAGCTTCCTCTGCTTCTTTGTTAAAGGCTCAGTCAGGCAAAGAAAGTAGAATTTGTTATTCATGTTTCCAGCTTAGCAGAAAATTAACTTTTATTGGTTGTGTTGGTGACTGGGCTCAGTAACTCCTGGGTTTAGTAATTCAGAAGGTTTTCAAGTTCTTAATTGAAAAACTGATTACCAAATTCTGCAGACTGCTGATTTACTTGATTTAAAAGTAGGAAAAATGTAGCAAGAAAACTTTTTACTGTAAATATAATTGTTGTTTTTTCAGTTATTTATCTAAAAAAGCACGTTCAAAAGAAACCAAAGAAGTGGGTGTGCAATAGAAGCATGAGGCAGATTTGAGTAACGGATACTTTAGTCATCATCATGCCAGAGAGGAAATGAGTTATATATTGGGGGGGGGAGGGAGAGGGGAGGTGGAGGAGTGGTTACGATTTTAAAGCAGCAGAAGTTGGGGGGGAGGGTTCCCCTCCACTCAGGGTGTTCGTTTTAAATTCCCAAGGAATTGTTAAAACTTTGGTGACATCTATTGGATACTATGTGAAACTTCAGGATGCTTCTGTTCTTCCCCTTAATTTGATGTAACTGTGCCTTTGTTTCCTTTCCTTAGTAGGACTTTTTTTTAAACTCTTCACAGGTTTTTTTGGTAAAGAGAATTTGCAAACTTCATGAGACAATCATAATGTTTTAAAATGTTAAGAGAATTTAAGAGTAGGACTAACTATAATATATATAAGGCATATCTTGTTTGTCTGTTTTTAATTTCACATGTAACATTGTAGTGCATGTGTGAGTTAGTAACATTATCCTCAAGTGAGACACTTTATAATGGTTCAGGGAATGCTTTTATGTTGTGTTGCGATTTGTTTTTCTATGAATGCAGCAGCATGTCGGTGGGTATTCTGTTAACATCTACTTAATCTATGTATCTGCCCATAACTATGTAATCATGGCATAACCGCTGTCAATATCGAACCATTCGTTGCTCAGATTTAAACACTGTTTGAGTATAAAAATATGTGAATTTTGGTTTTACTTGAACTAAACTACCAGTCTTTTAAGTAGGCGCATCTGCATTTACTTCAGCCAAAATCTCAACCAGTGTTGTATGCACTATGTGTCTTGATTTGGGGTGAAAGCGGGTGGGGGTGGGGGACCAAAATAAGGTTCTATTTTAATTTTGTCTTAGTCCACAGTTAATTATTGTTAAGATGTTGTGTGGGGGGTTAATTTTTTTTTTTTTACACACTGGTAATTACAACAGCATTAATTTAAAAGAAATGGTCATGCCTACTCAGTTTTTCTTTTTATAATTTTAACATCAAATTGAACTGTCAAAGCTTCTGTTGCAAGATTGTTTTCATTTTATTATGTGATGGTACCAGAATGATTAAATGATGAGGGGGAATGAAGGGAAACATTAAAATGTATGTCTTTTTAAAAACAAACATTTAAACTATTTATAATTTTGACAAGCTTTAGTTTTATTTTTGTAGGGAAGTTTTTATTCCCCTTAAAGTTATTGCTGAAATGGCAAAAAGAAGTGATGGTTCCATTATTAAAGTTGAAGTTGGCAATACTTAGTTACGTGGCGTGTGTGTCTGCGTTTTCGTGTTACCTGAGGCTGATGTCGGGGATCTCTTTGATGCTGAATGAAACTTCCTCGTACCAATAAATGGTGTGGGGAGATGCAGCTTGGTTTAAGCGCTAATTAAGACTTGCCAGGAACAACAGATACATTTCTGTGTACGTGTCCCAGTCATACTTGTGTATTTATTTTAAAGTTTGCTTCCTGATTCTGGTGAAGAATAATACAGAACGACTAAAACCGATCGATTTTCTCACAAGAAGAAAAAGAAAAAAAAAAACAACCCAAACCAAAGAAAACCACAAATCCTTTGAAATTTACACGCGTACTTGGACATTCTCCGTTTTCTTCCCGGGGCCGCCCTCCCCGGCGGGGCGGAGGAGGAGCCGT